GTTTTGTAATAGAATTAGAGTTATCTGCCGTTGTTGTTTACATAGTCATGGCTGACTTGATCATCCGAGAAGTTTCTGCATGGGACAGTGTCTAGAAGGCTGGCTTCATCCACAGAGCGACAAGAGGGCGATTCGATTCCTTTTCTATTTGACTTACTTTTAATCTACCTGCAGTTTGGATACCTATTTGTAAACATCGAATTTCTGCCAAGGTTAAACAATTCTCGGATCAAGCTCAGAAACAGGCCTCTTTCAAGACAAGCAACATCAGCACTAACATTAATTCTCGAGATACTGAGTATATTATAAACCTGAAACTGTATGTTTGAATGTAATTTGTTGATTATTCATTGATCTTTTGTTGTCATTTTCTAATTTCATAATATTGTTGTGTACGTACCGTTTGCTGGGTTGGAAATCACTTCGTTACAACACGTTCTGTCTTAAATTATACACGTGCATGTAATTATACAATGTACAGGATGTACGTAAACGATACTAGTTTAAACTAGCATTACACACGTAATGTAATCCTATATATATATATATATATATCTGAGATGGCGATAAATCATGATATACGATTCAAACTACGTGTATTTATGCGGATTCGGGCACGAATTGGTTCCAACAACCTATACTGGTCGTAAGAGGGTCTAAGTGAATCTGGTGATGAGGCTCGGTGAGATTGAATCGGGTGATGAGGCTTGCAGTTGGTTGATTGAGTCTCATCGTACCCCGACGATGCTCATAATATTGATTACTGGATTGTCTGGTCAATTATTTGTTTGTCTGTTTGTTTGTTGTTTGACGCCGCACACAACAATAGTCCAGCCATGTGACGGCGGTCTGTAAATTATCGAGTCTGGACCAGACAATCCAGTGATTGACACCATGAGCAATTGGGATATGATGACATGCATCAATCAAGTCAGCGAGACTGTCCACCCGATCGCGTCAGTCTCCTCTTAAGACAAGCATAGTCGCCATTTACGGCAAGCACTGGTTGTTGAAGACCTATTCTCTATCCGCCGTCCTTTCTGACATATTGCTGAGCTCCGTGTTAAGCAACAAACAAACAAAAATTATTTTCTTCTCCGACCGGTAAACGTCTCGTCATGACGTCTTTTTTAAAACAGCAGGGATTTATGTAGTATTATCATCAAGTCGACCCGTAAAGATATAAGTCATTTAACATAAACCAATGAGACCAGTGAAGATCCGGGGTAGAATAGGTCTTCAGCAACCCATGCTTGCCGTAAAAGGGGCCTATGCTTGTCGTAAGAGGCGACTGACGGGATCCGGTGGTCAGGCTCTTTGATGCATCTCATCGTATCCCAATCGTCGGATCGATGCTCATGACATCAATCACTTGATTGTCTGGTCCAGACTCGATTATTTACAGACCGCCGTCATAAAGCTGGAATATTGCTGAGTTCGGCGTTAAACAACAAACAAACAAACAATCACTAAAAGTATATCCACCGAATGATATTTTGCCAATGATTCTCAACTCTCTGCCACTTCGCCCACAGCTGCCTTTTAAATACTGGGAATATTTGAATGTTTGACATTATAATTGACAGCGTGCAGTGTTTGTTTAAAGTCACCATGACCTGATATTGGTAAACACTTAAACAGATACTCCATGTTAGAAAATGATGTGCGCTCGGTGTTGTCACAGGGTACGTCTGTTGCACGTGTGAATTGTCATAGCACCGACGAGTCTACTTCTGTATAGGGGACGAACGCATGCTGGATTTGTTGTACTCCATGTTTGACACAATGTCGCATTTTGACATATTTAAACGTCAGTTTCCCGGTGTTTAACCTGGCACATACAACTCCCCTCTCCTGTACACGTTGGATCGCGAACCCCAAGACGAGCATCGTGAGAAACAGATCAGGATCATCTGAAAGAGAATGTCGTTGTTTTACCACGTGGTACTCGCAAGCGTGGTACTGACAAACCAGAAACACAATCCGGGTCGATTCCAGGCTTTCGAACCCACGATCTGATACACGTAAGGGAAGTAACTTGTAAATGCAGCGAGGAGAGAAATCTGTTTAGAATTTCGTTTAAAGATTTAGCATCACACCGACTTACAGTTCTACACTATATTACCTGTTACTGAGGATAGTCAAAAAAGTGAATATCTTAAGACGGTAAAAAGGTATTTAAAAAGTTCAGCGTTTGCTAAAACTTCATTACTGAAGTTTTGTGGTATATTTTAACACACACCGATACCACTACCCCTTCCCCAACCGCATCCTTCCAAATGTTGACACAGGTTAAATGTTTATTTTATCTAACGTTGAGTGCAACTGTAAAAATACACCAATTGTCCCTCAATACATCATGTCATTATGTGTTTCTAGTTGTCCTTAACAGTAAACTGTCACTTGTTTTAATATTGAATTATTGTTTATGGAATTTCGTGAAAATCACAAAAGCTTTATCACATGATGAATAGTTAATAATTAAAACAGACTCTAACAGAATTGGTTTAGATAATGAATTGTGAATTTGTATACATATAAATTGCGTTTATTGAAGTCGATGAAGCTTCACTTTTATCTTCCCAAATTGTTTGGTATTAAATCTGTGGTCTCATGGCTCTGTACTGGTCTGCTGGTGGGCTCATGCCGATTTGTCACTCGTTCCTGTCATTTTAAGCCGAGTGCTTTTGAATATGTTTTTTATGTATTCATAAGATGTATTTTATTTGCTTTGCGTCATCTCCATGGCCAAAATAATGTCATATATAAGTTTTAACTCACTCCCCAATTAACACAAATTGTCAACGAAAATATGGTAAAAGAGATATGTCTCACAAAAACTGCTGCCTTTGTGAGTGGCGTGTTTTACCCATAGAGCAGGTCAAGTTTACCCTTTTCGCGAACGCCTGTTGTCATCACTGATCATCAGTTATCCATTCATATAACTCACTCCAGCAATCCTCAATCAGGGCCGCTAGGTCAGGATGCTGACGAAACTCACGTGCAACTGGCGAACGGAACCGAGACTGTGTCGAAGGTTCCCGAACTTTAGTGACGATTTCTTGGGGAAATATGATAAGTAAGCGAGTGAGTTTTGTTTTACGACGCTATTCTTTGTTTCAGTCATGCTGGGGGCTTCAAATTACCCTTTTCGCGAACACCTAGTGTCATCACTGATCATCAATTATCCATTCATATAATTTTTACACTTATTTTGCCTTTCAAGCCCAAAAAGGTTTCAACGAATAATCGGGACTGGGTGTTCTCTGGAGTTGACGACTCCTGTTATAGTATACACGCGGAGACATGTCGAATTAAGATATCACTTTGAAGACCAACTAGATAGATTGTTGTTGTTTCAAGCATGGAGACATGTTTGTTTGTGTGTGTTTGTTTGTTTGTTGTTTAACGTCGCACAGAGCAATATTCCAGCTATATGACGGCGATCAAAAATAATCGAGTCTGGGCTGGACAATCCAGTGATTGACACCATGAGCATCGATCCACGCAATGGGGATACGATGACATGGGATGACATGCATCAACCAAGGGATGTTGATGTATTCTCACACCAGGAATTGGCGTCGTATAATCTATACGGTTTAAGTATCTGTGGTTAGAGCTTTCGTGGTGCTTCATTGGAGGAAATTTGATCATATAATAGTATATCAATATCCACACTGTATGTTTGAAATGTTCTGTTTTGTTTTTATATATTTATAAAATAATAAAATAATTCACTTGACTTGATTTTTTAAAATTTAACGGCTCCTCCTTTCAGCGAAAAATATATTTAATCTCCTTCAAAATCCCAGCTACGGTCCCCAGTGTCTTGTCCTGTCTCGATGATTTACAGGCCGTCGTCATCTGGCAGGAGTATTGCCGAATGCGGCGCTAAACAACATGCAGATTAACAAACGAACATTCGTGTACGTGTGGCATCAGCATGGTGACCTTCACCTGTAGCTGTGTAAACTCGATATAGCATAGTGTGTGGTACGTACGGATAAGCGGGGTCTCAGTGTATTCAAGGTTTCATGAATAGCCATTCATTTGTGAGTTATCAATTCCTCATCGCCAAACACTTAACGTGATCCATTAGCATATTACCGTATTCACTGTTCAGCAGGGGGCACGGGTGGCCCAGTCGTCTAGGGCGCCGGGATTCGCTGTGCAGAGTTGCGTCCCTTGGACACGCCAGAAACCTATGATTGTGGGTTCGAATCCCATTTCGCCCCGATTATGTTTCTAGGTTTGTCAGCACCATACCCGTGCTCGTGGGTTTCACCGAAGTGGTAAACGTCTAAGACCTGCATCACTTTGGGCTTTCCTCCCACATTAAGCTGACACGCCGCGATATAACTGGAATATTGTTAAAAGCGGCGTTAAACCCAACTCACTCACTCACTCACTCACTCACTCACTGTACAGCACATAAACGTCCCGTGTTGACCTAGGCTGGAGTAGAACACCAGTAGTCTATGCTGGTCGTAAGAGGCGACCAAACTGGACCGTGTGACTTTGTTCATTGCATGTCTTTATACCCCGACGGACAGGGACGTTGCTCATAACATCAATCACTAGTTTAGGCTTACTTACAGGCTGCCATGATATAGTACATATGGGAATAATGTACGTCATGAGTTTAACCAGCATCCACTCACTCACTCACTCAACAGTTTATCGTGTACATGTTTAACTACATTCAATTATGCGAACAATGTAGGTTATATTTGAAAAATGTTTAGCACAATTTATGTTTGCTTGCGTAAGGTCATCCTGAGGCGCGCCGACAGGTATCTGTTGTGAAATATCATCCCTTGAGTGATATCTGTAATTTTCTACACGTCGTGGACCGCCTTTTGACTCAATAATATCTCTACAAAACGTCTGGGTGTATTCCAAATATGAACATACCAAATATTCCAAAGTGTCATTGTCATCTCTCCAGGCCATGAAACTGTCATGGTTGTACGCCTAACTATGTCTCCATCCCCGTATCTGATTGGTCCATTCGCACTAACGTCATCAGGTAGATTGAGAAGCGGTAGCATCCAGTATGCCACTTTTGGACCACTGTCCGAGTTTCCTCGACCATTCATGTACTTGCCACTCCGTCTGGTCACCTCCCTCAGGTCATCAGGCCGTAACAGTCCTGAATTAGCCACCTCCGTTTGTCACCCTTCCCGCCAGGAGTGATGTATGGGACTAAGCAGACGACTTGTCATCATTGCGCTGGAAGCATTTACTCTTGTGTGTTACCTGGCAGATGAACAGTGTACAGTCAGTGTGCCGGGCTGGTAGACCAGGGACAATGTACACCTGGGGAGTGCTCCTCCTTCTCCCCACCCTCCTGCTTCATACCCCTAGCGTCCAGGGGAACAAGCGAGAGTTCAGGATTGCCTGGATGGCACCCAAGCAGGAGTACAACAAGTTCAGTGCTGCCACTACTGTGAATGCCTTAAAGTTGGCTTTGTATTCAATTGGACGAAAATATCTCAGAGGACATCCTATACGGTAAGTGCGAGTTGATTATCATTCAGTTTTTATACAACAATCAACCTGTCACATGCCACTTATACAGTGTCAAGACTTGTTTTCCCTTTCCAGATTTTCCTTCAGAAATACTCTCATGTCGTGTCGTCATATACGTCTGGTCGCCATGGTGAATGGATAACTTGTTTATTATAAGATTTTATCAGAGTTATATCATTATTTTAAACTCTGTCCTCTTTATTCTTTCATGTAGAAAAAGCAATATCATTTAAATATGACGATGACAATTGCAATGAGTGAGTATGGTTTTGCGCCGCTTTTTGCAATATTCCAGCAATATCACGGCGGGAGACACCAGAGATGGGCTTCACACATGGTACTCATGTGGGGAATCGAACCCAGGTCTTCGACGTGAGGAACGAACGCTTTAACCACTAGACTACCCAACCGCCCCCAAAGTGAATGACGCAATATTGGGCACCATTGTCTCCCCTAGCTTCATTTCCCGTAAAATTCAATTTAACAAATAACGAATCGGATAAAAACTACAATAGTTTCTTTTCGTATACAAATAATATCTCTCCTTAAGGTAGATAAAGGGGGCATTGTTGCGAATGGTATCTTTGAACATTAAACATATCTTTCAAAATATAATATTTTATATTTTATACGTGAGTTCGTATTATTAAATTTATATGATTATAGAACGCTCCTTTTTTAAAGCTTAATCCTATAATGTTGGGTAATTAAAACGGTCCGGCATTTTCATTAGAAGAAACAATATTCACTGTGTTTAAAACAAATATACTTTTGTAATAATTTCTACATATCTTCTTACTAAGTAAAATCATGTAGGAAATCGTTACAAAAATGTTCACACAAACCACAACAAAATGTATCTAAAATATCCGTGACTAAGTTTATTCTTCCTTGCCATACCTTCCACATCAACGTCAATTTATAATGGAGACGACACCTGTAGAGTCTTACGTTGACCGATTATGTAACGGACTCCTACACAATACATCGACACGGGCGATGACTGTATCATGACTCTATCACCCTGTAGAAACCAATGACGGTCTCATATATTCGTGTCACAGGCAAATTCATAGGTTGAGTGTCTGTTAAAGCACGCGTAGATATTCTCATACATCATGCTACCTTTATAATGCAATGGCCTAGGCGTTTGTCGGAAAGGTGTGTGGGTGTGTGGGAAGGAATGTTTGGTCATTTGTGTTATATATAACATGTAAATCCCTTGCTTTTTCCTTAGAAGTTAATTCACGTGTCTGCTTCATAACATACGTGCAGAATCACGTAAAGCACCCTGTCATAAAGTACACAAAGACAGCTGAAGATATGTCATGAAAAATAGGGAAACGACAGGGTTGTATTTTTTGTCTTATTCTTTTTATTCAATGTCAGTATATTTCTTCAAGCGCTGATGCATGATGAACCACAAACAATGTATAAACACATAAGCACTGTGCAGACAAACAAACAATAAATCACTTGTTCGTCAGGGTAAAGACCGCTACTGATGACTTATTGCCCTCATGTGCCCCTAGGGGGGAGGGACCAAGATGTTCAGCGCTGTTCAACACTGCATCTCACGCGCTTGTCCCGCACACCCCCGTCAGCTATTTCCCCCCACGAACAACCCGTGTCTGGTGCAGAGACAGCCAAGGCTTAGTTTGACAGTCTAATGTTCAAGTTTGAACGATTAATTGCATATTCCACAAACTCATTTTTTATACGCCTCTTGATTTGGAACTTTTATTACCTCACGAATCGCGCGTACAAGGCACTCAGGCTGTTTTCTAATATGACAAGGCAAGTCTATTGTTCTTGTTCACACATTAGCGTGTCGCCTTCCTCGTGATTAATGTGTTACCTGCATATAATCACATAAGTTTTTGTAATCCTGGCATGTTTGACGTATCGTCCTATTGTTTATTGTACATGTATATAATATCTTCACTATCAAGGATGCTGTAAGTCTGCAACTTTTCCCTATTCAGACATGTCGCTTTACTATTGAGATACAGCATCTGACAATCATTATAACGTATAGATGACACTATGTATGTTGCATCAAAGTTAGTGTCATTTGTTTATGTTAAATGACTACTCGATGACAACTAAATGACTTGTTTCTTTGTTTGTTGTTTAACGCCGCACTCAGCAATATTCCAGCTATATGACGGCGGTCTGTAAATAATCGAGTCTGGACCAGACAATCCAGTGATTGACATCATAAGCATCGATCCACGCAATTGGGATCGATGACATGCATCAACCAAGTCAGCGAGCCTGACCATTCGATCCCGTTAGTCGCCTCTTACGACAAGCATAGGCCCCTTTTACGGCAAGTATGGGTTGTGGAAGACCTATTCTACCCCGGATCTTCACGGGTCTCACTGGTTTATGTTAAATGCCTACTGGATGACAACTAAATGACTAGTCCGCACCTCGTTAATCCGAAACACCTTTTCGAACAATTCCTGTTATGAACACCTATAAGCAGGGACATTACTCTGTCACAATAAATCCTTATCCGAAATTGCGTCACTCCCAGTACTGTCCCGATTAACGAGGTTACACTTTGACGATGTGAGGTAAACTGTTGCCAACCCTGAGATAAGGAACCTGATTGGTGAAAAATCACATTTTGACTTTTCATTATATTTTAAAACTACAGCGTCTTCGGAACACAAAAATAAAATTCACAAGTGTCAATTCATATTTATTACAGAGTTACATGACATCGAACATGGTGATCTTTGTTGATGTCAAACGTCTTTATGACGTCATTGCACAAATGTATCCAAGCACCCATAAGGTCCTCTTTCTTCTGGTGGGTCACAAATGTTTGTTGACCTGTATCTGGCACCTGACATATTGTCCTGGCATCAGGAAGGTCTGGGGATGATGTTTACATGTCTATATATATCCTCATGTAGTTTATGTCAGTGTGGCGGCCCCCCGCCTTAGCCCACGGCCATTTTGAAATGACGCCCTTGGCGACATCTTGCCTGTACATAATCCTGAAACAAAGCTGTTCTAGTGACTGCAGTGCTCTTCCTCTTGTCTCCTGAGGAATATTATTTAAATTTTATGTCTGGCATGGGGTAATGAATCTATATTGACTATCCTTGTTCCGTGTGTCGAAAACCGCTGTCCTGTTTCTTCTGAAAAACAATTCGCTTTGAAACTTTTCCATACAGAAATATGCGCACAGGGGATTGGCCACTTTGTCTCAGTGTTTGGCCTTCTCCTTTCAGGGATTGAGTTAAAGGTTTAAGCCACGTTGGCCGTGTTTAAGCCATATCTTTCTTTTTTTATCTTGAAAAACAATTCAACCCGGGAAACTCGGGAAGAAATAAGAGATGCGATACATATAATAATAGATATAATAATATATAGTATTCCTCAATGTATATTCGGGAGCGGTATTTTGATCCCGTATTGGCAGAAATTCGGATTAGTCAGAGACCGATTTTGACATATTTCACTATATATATCACGTGCAAACGAAATACATGACATAGCATAGGATTATCTTTCCCCATCTGCAGCAACCACGAGTACAGTTTATGCCAAAACTACACTACCCACATGTGACTTCCTGGCTATTGTGTAGAGGGGAATATCCGAGTAACTCTCCATTCCTTAAAAATAATGGAGCAGAGGCCCATTGTTTTTATGGAAAGGAGAGTTACGAGGATATTCCCCTACTTAAAACTCATCTCTACTTTTACACTTTGACCAAAATTCTTTTGTGGAAAATATTTGAAAATAAACCAGAACTCTTGTTGATAATGACATGTCCTCGAATCAGACGATGCGGGTTCGAACCCCGCCTGCCGACACATGTTTAGGAAAAAAATTGAAAATATTCACTTATCAATTAATGTATAAAAATAGTTCCGTCTGTTCCAAGTGGAAATTAATTCAAATGTTGAATCAAAATAATGTATAGTTGACAAACAACTCTCCATTCCTGAAAAATAATGGAGCGTTCAAACAATAGATGCGTTTTTATTAATTATACAGTGCAATCTATCGAACCAGATCAGATTTACCGTCCCGAATGGACTCGGATTAAGAATATTCTTTACAACCATATCGTTATTTATATTTCCCCCCTCCTGCTATAATCCCACTTAACCGGACTTTGTTGGCTGTCCCAAACAAGTGAACCTATTCTACTGTACTGCTTAAGATCGTTTTCCAGAATCTATTCATTATCAACGTATTCAACACTCATATTTATACATTAGGGCTAGGGATGGGGTCTTAATAGGACCACAATAAGCTTTTAAACCGTTCATATGTTCCCCCCTGACGGCCGCTGATGACGTACCTGTTATCAGACATAATGTTCACATGTTGCGTGGTTGGAGAAGGGCCCCTACCTGCCTTCTATTCATTAAACATATGAATCTCGGACACTTGTGTAAAGTTGCGTGTTTGTTATACTGATATAGTCACTTTACATTTCATATGATGTTGTGACTATGCTTGTCGTAAAAGGCGACTAAATGGATCGGGTGGTCAGGCTCGCTGACTTGGTTGATGCATGTCATCGATCCCAATTGCGTGGATCGATGCTTATGATATCAATCACTTGATTGTCTGGTCCAGACTCGATTATTTACAGACCGCCGTCATATAGCTGGAATATTGCTGAGTGCGGCGTGAAACAACAAACAAACAAACAAACAAATTATATGATGTTTGTGTAAAGGAAGGGTCAAAAGTCATGACGCCTAATGTCAAGGTCGATCACGACATCCGGGTGTGCAAAGTTTTTAAGAAAACCGTGAACCCCCATCTGAATGTATGTGTGTCGGGTCCAGCGGTTGTCATGGCGACACACTGTCTTCCGTGTTTACTCGCATGTTGGATGTCACGTGTCTTGGAAGGTTTATGTCGAATGTATATAAAGGTAATGCTATATGGTTATTTAGTGTGTGAGGGAGTTTGGTTTAACGTAACACTCAGCAATATTCTGG